TTACCAATAATTTAAGTAATTCAATGATCATTTTTTTTATTAAAAGTAAAAGATCTTGAATTTAAATCACATTGTACGTGAGTATGTGAGGATGTGAGTTAGGTAAGATAAGATATGAAATATGGTTGCCTTCCTATTGTAAAATCAAGAAAAAAAATTTATATGTTTAAATAAAAGAATAATGAAAGTCATATCATTTTTTGAAACTCTTTTTTAATATAAATGAATTTAATTTGATTATTAAAAATAATTAATAATTATAATTATAAATTTAATTAATAAAATAATTAATATATATTATTTAAATATTTAAAGTCATTTATAAATTAATATTATCAAACATATTTATAATTATACACTAATTAAATCATACAAATTAAATATATTTATAATATTTTGTGTGAATACAGAAAAAATAATATTTTGTGTGGTTATAATTGGGTAGCCATAGCATGTCGGGTGGTAGGATACAGGTATCATTCACCGTGGGTAACAGAGGCACGTACCTCGCGGGAAAAGTACAATTTCGTGGTTTGGTGCACCGAAAGCATGCGTCGGGCTCGAATATCATGGTTGGTTCCCCTCTACTGCTTTTGCATTTTAAGAGAGTGTTCTGATTAAAAGGTTATTTTATTACAAAATTTTATTGAATGGATGATATATTGGTTTGAGTTTTGAGTGTAAAGAGTTTTATTTTTTTAATTAAATTTTGAATTTAAATTTTATAGATGAAGAAATAAGTATTGAAAGTGTTTTTTTTTTAATAAAATAATAAATATTTATATTTAAAATTTATTTTAAAATAATAATAATTTTTTATTTTAGAGAAGTAAATATTTTTTCTTTAATTTTATAATTATTTCTCAATTTTAATTATTTATTATTTGACTAAAATAATTTTTTATTTTTATTTATTTTTTAATAATAAATTAAATAAAAATAAAATTATTGTTAAATTTTTAATCAAAAAATAAAATAAAAACATCTATTATTTCAAAATAAAAAAACTACATTTTTATTTTTTAGAAGATAAATATAATACAACCATTTACAATTTATAAAAAATTGTTGCTTTGATTTTTCCTTTTTTTCTAAATACAATTACTGACATTCGTGGGGGAGTGGAGAAATGGGAATGCGACGTCTGACGTCCAACTGTTAAGTCAGGTGAATGCCCACCACTAGCTTTCAGGACGTGGGGAACGATGCTTTTGATTGCTTTGTGTTTGCGATTAAAGAAAACACGGAAGGGACCCGCTCCCATACCAATCAAGCTTTTCGTTTGGAAGCCACGTGCTTAATGTCTGCGCGTGAAACTAAAACAAACGTTGTCTTTTTATACCCTAAACAAACATAAAAATAGGAGTGCTAGGGGCACTTGCTTTCTTCACTCTCCGAACAACACTGCCTCTTTCATTGGGCCACGTTGTTTTAGTTGGTAAGAGGCTGCAGTTCAAAGTTCAAAACAGCCTTACGTGGCCCAATGAAAGGGGCAGTGTCGGCCTAGCACTGCTCAACATAAAAATATACAATATAAAAAAGAAAAAAGTTTCCTGATGTTTGTTTCCTCCTATTTAATTTAATTATCTTATCTTATTTATTTATAATTATTATAAGATAAAAATTAAAAGTATATTTATTATATTTTTTAATAATTTATAAAAAAAAAATATATATCAATTTTAGTTTAATTAACTAATTAAAACTATTTATATGATACTAGTATTCAAATAAAAATAAACTTTTATGATTTGTATGTAAATTTATGGTTTAAGTACCATTTTGGTCCCTCAACTTTTCACTTTGGTACCAAAATTATCCCTCAACTTTAAAAAGTATCAAAATTATCCTTAAACTTTCATTTTCGGTAC